GCGCGGATCGGGGTGTCCGCGCGGACTGAGCGGCGGTGCATCGCCGGGCCCGCTGCAAGGATGCCCGGGACTTCCCGGGGCTGCCTCCGGGACGGCGGGGTGCCGGTCCCCGAGCCCCGCGCGCAGGCACTTCTGGGGGCTGGAGAGACGTCTGCAGTGTCTGAGCTGGCGGGTCCCGGGCTCGGAGGGGAGAGGGACACGGCAGCGGACCGGGCGGACGGAACTCCGGCTCCGCTGGAGCCTGTAGCCCGGGCGCCGGAGCCCGGAGGTTAGGGGTGCGCTTTTGGGGGGAGGTGGGGGACACGACAGAAAAGCCCTGGAGGGAGGTGTGGGCCGGGGGCCGGGGCGCTTTCACGCGCTGTCCGGGCCGGCCGCGGGGTGAACCCCCGAAGGCTGGGAGGGGGCGAACCGGGGCGATGCCGGGGGGAGCGCATTCCGGGCGGCGGGAACCGCGGGTTCGGAGGGGAGGGCGCGGAGGGCTGGGACCTGCGGCGGGTCAGACAAGGTCTGAGGGGTGAGATTGTGCCTTTTTACCCCGGAGAAGCGGAGCCGCTGGGGGGAGCGGGGAGGGTAGGCGGGGCCACAGCCGGACTGGCCGCGCTCACCTGGGAGCCCCGCGGCTGGGGGGGGGGGGGGGAGCCGGGGAAGCGGAAGGACCCCCGGCTCCGCTAACGCCTCGGGGCGGTGTTTGCACCCCGGGGCTCCGGGAGCCACCAGTGCTAAAGCGCTTCGGGGTAAGCAGCTTTGCCAGCTGGTCAGATTCTGAGGGCTACTCGCAGGTACCCCACCCCTTGGAATGTCGGGGCGGGAGGGGAAGGGTGAGGTCGGGGAATCTGCATTTCTAAAGCGCTCCCGCTCCTGATTATCTGGCACTCTGAAGCAGATTGAGGGGAGGTAATCTCGCTTCCCTCCTCTTTGCCTTCCCTCCCCCCCTGGCCCGTGGTTAGCCGGTACCTTTTTCTTAGGAAGGAAGTGGAGTGGAGTTTTAACTGCACTGTCTTTGTCCTTCCTGCGTTCTTCTGGACGGGGATCTCGAGTCCCTTCTTTGGGAAGGCTCAAACCCCCAGCAGCGCTATTAAAAAAAAAAAAAAAAAAAAAAAAAAACTCTCCGCAGGAGGTGGCGGAGGGGAAAAAACCTTAACCAAGCCACTCCTAAATTAGTAGCTTGTATTTGAAACTACAGTTCGGCTGCATGAATTGCCGTAAACAAAATGCCATAACCACTTCTATGCCCAAGGCCTTGAATGGAGACAGGTAGCTGGACAAGGCGGTCTTTGGCCTCCTGCTGGTCCTCCTGAGAGGACTTTAGGATGTTGAATCTTTAGCTGGGAGCGATTTTTGAAGACTTCCTGAATTGCCCCGGGCTGTTTTTCAAAGTTCTTGCTATCTATCCGCTTCTTTTTATGTGTCCAGCAGTGCTGGCCCTGGAGCGAGCCTGTGTTCCCAGGCTTTGGGGATGGTGTTCGGTACCCTGCAGTCCCGGGGTGCCCCCTCTGGGCCGGCATCATCAGAATTACTCCCCAAACACGCCTCAACACCGGCCACCACTGCAGAGAAAAAGCAGCCTGGCAGCTGATGGTTTTTTTTTTTTTACCTCTATTTTATTTACCTCTGTGCTGCTGAGCGGGAGCTTGTCTTTCTTGTTAAGTTAGGCCACTCTTGCAAATAAATCGCTTTGCAACCAAAGTAACATTTGGAGGAAGTATAATGGAGCGGGTCAGTTGGTAGACTTGAGGCACCACCAGTGGAAGAGGGAAGTAGCAGGGGCAGGACAACAACCTTACAAAGTAACATCAGCAGTTTCTCAAAGGGTTAAAAAAGGCCCACTGTGCTCAAGGAGGTTCTAACTGCCAAGTGTTTGCGGCTGCTCTCCCCTCCCCCCTCCTGGTCAAGCAGATCTATCTTTCCCAGGAGAGGGTGGGGCCCTTGGGTGTCTAATGGTGAAGGAAGTTTCTCGTGGTCCCTGATAGCTGTTGGGCAGTTTTCTGATAACCAGAATCCATCCATCTCCTGCCTATTTTGAATTGCGCAATGCATTTCCCTCTCCGAGAATCTGGTGGTAAACGTATGTACACACTAGTGAATAAAACCAATAATGTTTACATGGTGCTCACTATGGCCAAGGTTCTTTTATGGATGCTAAATTTCATAATCTTCATGTTACCCTGTAAGTTTGGGGCTAAAGTCCCATTTTACTGATGTGGCAACTGAGGAACAGCCAAGTTGAGTAACTTACCTAGGGTCACACAGGTACTAGATGATAGAATTGGAATTTGAAACTTACTAGCTGGCTTCCCAGTCAGATCCCTCTCACTTAGATTTCAGCTTTTCAATCTAACTCTGCCTGGCAGGTTAAAACACTCCAGAGTTTGCTGCCTTTCTTTTTAAAGGAGGATTGCTAAGTAGTACTGGTTTGGTTGCCTGTGAGGGGCATACTGATGAGCTTCAGGGTTCTAGTTGGCTGAAAACTTCTAGCCCTGTGATCTTGAGCATCTCTCCTGAGTCATTTTCCATCCTTCTGAGCAGAAGGTCTCAAAGAGTGGTCCCCAGATCAGCCGCATCAGCAGGGAACTTGTTAGAAAAATCACCGGCCGCTTCAGACCTCCTGAATCAGGAACTCTAGAGGTGGGCACCAACACCTGTTTCTTAACAAGCCCTCCGGTGATTCTGACTTGTGACGTTGTGTTAGAGGCTCCAGTGTCTCCCAAACTTCTCTCATGATGAGAATAGTAAAATTGTATACTTAACTAGTGTTCTAAGCTTAAGTATACAATTTTACCTATATGTTCACAAAAATTCTAGTTTAGCACTTCTTTGTTGGGATTCAGGAATCTGTATTTTAACAACTCCACCAGGTGATTCTCATTATGAGAGAAGTTTGGGAAACACTAACGAGGGTGTGGCGTTGTGCTTCTCTGATTTTAGCAGAATAGGCACGTCAAACTCCTGGCCCGGGGGCTATATGCCTTGTTTATTTGGCCTGTGTTCGCCTTTGAGTTTGACATGCTTGATACAGAGGAATTGCCTAAGGCTCCTGTGAAAGTGCAGGTTGCCTCCTTAGGTGGAACGGAGTCTGGGGTGGGATGGGCCCTGAGGTTCTGGATGTCTAGCTCCCATGAAGCTGATTTTAGTGCTCTGTGGCCAATCCTTTGAATAGCAGAGGCTTAGAATAGTAAGACAGTCGCTTAGGAAAGGCTTTAAAATGCAGGTTCCTGGGGATCTGCCCTAATACCCCTTCCCTCTAGGGTCGTGGTCAGCAAACTGCGTCTCACGAGCCACATGCGGCTCTTTGGCCCCTTGAGGGTGGCTCTTCCACAAAATACCACGGCCTGGGCGACTATTTTGAAGAAGTGACATTAGAAGAAGTTTAAGTTTAAAAATTTTGCCCCTCAAAAGAAATTTTAATCGTTGTACTGTTGATATTTGGCTCTGTTGACTAATGAGTTTGCCGACCACTGCTCTAAGGCATTACATTTAACCCACAATGCAGGTGATGCTGATTCAGGTATGGGGACCGGCTTGTGCATTGTACGGTGTTCAGCAGTATCCCTGGCCTTACCCTGCTAGATGCCACTGTCCCCACATGATCCTGACAATTAAAACGTCCCCAGTCATTGCCAAAAGTTCCCTGGGGGCAAAATGAACCCCAGTGAAGAGCCACAGACGTTTCTAATTGAAGTGTTGTGTACAGAGAATTTACATTGCTATCTCTTAACCCTGAGACAGGTCAGCGATTCCTTTTTACAGGCGAGACCACTGTAGCTCAGAAAGGTTAAGTAAGGTGCCAGTAGGCACACAGCTAGTTTCCTGGCTAAGCAAACCCCTGTACCTAGAACCGAAGCCCTCACCAATGTGCTGCACAGCCTCCCATGTCAGAGAAGGTTTACCTTGATAAACCCTCAAGGAAAATGGAATCAGCCTTCTGTATTGGGGTAAACCAAAAGCCCCAGACCGTGGGGCCTGGAATTCATGAATTAGTCGAGATCTTTTTTCTTAAAAACTTCAGACATGGCTCGCACGTCTGTAGGAGGGAGTACTTAATCATTGTTATGGAATCTTTTTAAACTGCCTATTTAAACTGAGCCGTATGAAATTCTCATCCAATCCTTGGGCCCATGAAAACGAAGATTGTGCATGGCCCAACCTCACTGAAAACGGAAAGACACAGTGAGGGGCCTGTACCCCTGGCTGGGCTACAACAGGTAGTGACGGGGCCGGCCTTGTTTCTTCCGTACAGCGATTCCCCTTTTTTACAGCGCATCAGACAGATATGCAATTTGGGAATATTCCTCTCTACACTGTGAGAAGGTTTTTTTAGTGAAGGTCTAATTGTACCTTCCCACTTTAAAAATAAAAACCCTTCTCAAGCTTTTAGTTGGGTTCAGCTTCCCACCGTCTCCAGTGGTGTTACAGTCTGTTGAAATCGGAATCAAGACACTGGTATTACAGATCGTCATCAGGTCTTAGTCCCTGGCTCCCCCTTCTGTCGTGTTATCTGCTGAAACACCTGCATGTGGCCTGTGACCTGCATGGAAATGGGATGGAAGCATTTAAAAATAGCCTGGCATTGCCCTGACATCCAGCTTACTGTTCTGTCCGTCATAACTCCTGGCCTTTGGTTCTGGACCTACTTCCCTTTTCTCATAATTTGTGTCCATTACCTTTTATAAAATTGTGGCCTGTGATGGATCGGACATTCTCTTACAAAGCAGATCGTTGAGAGGCGCTTTTTGCCAAGTTTTACAGCCCGGATCTGGCCATGACATCCCTGTCACCATGCTGTGTTCTTTTGTCCCCTGTGTATCCTGGAAACCGGTCATTAGTGAAGGTGACTTTTCTAAGGCCAGAGTGCATGTGGCTTCCAGGTTTTCAGGTTTTGTGTGTGTGTGTTTGAGAAGGGATGAAAGGAGGTGGAGTAAGCTCGCGCCTGCTCTGTTATAAGACTTACCGTGATGCTAATACTTGAGATATTAAGGAACACCTTCTGGTCTCCATTTCAGCTTCAGAACTAGATTCTGATGCCCCCAAACCAACTTGCCCCTCCTCCGACAGCAGCAACACCCAGAAAGCCCCTGTCGTGGCTCCTCCCTCCGAGTCAAAGCAACAAACGGCAACCCTGGGAGAGAGGACCTTCAACTGCTGCTACCCAGGTAAAGGGGAACGGAGAGCCCTGCGCCCCTGGGGCGCTGTCCAGCACGGCGGGTCCCGCTAGCTGAGCGCGGAGCGCTGAGCGCATCCCGGCGCTGCTCTTGCACATGCGGAGCGCAGGGGCATCCATCCTCTGTGGGTCCCGAGCATCAGCGTGTGCCTCACCCAAACTCCAGTTCATATAGCTTTCTTCCTGCTGCTCATCGTGTGCCTCACCCAAACTCCAGTTCATATAGCTTTCTTCAGTTCATATAGCTTTCTTCCTGCTGCTCAGCGTGTGCCTCACCCAAACTCCAGTTCATATTAGCTTTCTTCCTGAGGCTATACTTTTTTCTTTCTCTTCTAGGTTGCCACTTCAAAACTGTTCACGGCATGAAAGACTTGGACCGCCACCTACGAATCCATACGGGTAGGTGTCCATTCATTTGCTCAGAATTTTAGTGTTAAAAATGAACAACAGCACACGAGGAAAGGGATAGGAATTAAGTGCCAGGTATATAGGGGTGAGCAGGACAGATAAGGTCTCTGCCTCATGAAACTCAGTGGGCTGGGACCTAAAAAGTAACCGATAGGCCAAAATGTTAGCTAACAGGGATAAGGGGAAAGTGCTCAGGAACCTGTGTTAGAAGGATGTGATCTAGCTGCAGAGGCTTGGGAGGAGGAGCAAAATTGTGTATGAGGTGTACGTGAACTTGAACACAGGTTCTCCAGCCCTAGTCAAGCCTTCACAGTATTGCAGGTCCAGTCAGTATCTCAGTTATAACCTAATTAGAGGTCCAGTGCATGAACTTCATGAAGGCGGCGGGGGGGGGGGGGGGGGGGTTCCCCTCAGCCCAGCCTGCACCCTCTCACAATTCAGGACCCCTCGGGGGATATCCGACTGCTAGTTTAGACCCAATCCCGTTAGTTGGACATCACTCTCTCAATCTGGGACCACTGGCTCCTTAACTGCTCACCTGCCTGCCTGATCGCCCCTAAACTCTCTGCCTGCCTGCCTGATCGCCCCTAACCACTCTGCCTGCTTGCCTGATCACCCCTAACCACTTACTTACCTGATCACCTCTAACTGCTCACCTGCCTGCCTGATCGCCCCTAAACTCTCTGCCTGCCTGCCTGCCTGCCTGCCCCTAACTGCCCTGCCTGCCAGCCTGCCTGCCTGCCTGATCGTCCCTAACCACTCTGCCTGCCTGCCTGATCGCCCCTAACCACTCTGCCTGCCTGCCTGATCACCCCTAACCACTTACTTACCTGATCACCTCTAACTGCTCACCTGCCTGCCTGATCACCCCTAACCACTCTGCCTGCCTGCCTGGTCACCCCTAACTGCCTCTTCCTCTATCCCTGCTGCCTCAGCCCTCGCCGCCGCAGCTTCGTGACGCCTGGAAGGTCATTCGACTGTCTGATCTAATTAGCATATTATGCTTCTATTATTATAAATGAGAAACCTTAGCCAGAACTAATCAGCTAGCCTGCTCCTCACAAATTGACTGAGATAATGTTTGCTGTTGTTTTTAAATGGGCATGTGATGAAGTTGGACAGGTTGGCACAGTAATCTTAGATAAGAGCAGTAAGGTTGCTTCTTAAAGGTGCCTTCCAAGGTGCCACCAGCTGCTAAGAACACAGAAATAAGATGCTGGAGTGGACGAATTCCCTGATCTACATCAGGGGCTGCACACCGTGGCCCGTGGGCCCGTGCGCCCTGCTGGCGTGCCTCTTGTCCCCCTACCTTTGTGGCTGCTCTGGCCCTGCAGTAGCATCACTGAGTAGCTCCCGGAGAAATGGGGTGGTACACAAAGCCTGAGATATTGACTGTCTGGCTCTTTACAGAGCTCTGGCAACCTTGGGAGTGTAGACCCTCTAGTGTGAGTTAGGATACTGGTCTGTTTGCTCTTACAGATCCACTCTAAGTGGCTTAAACATTATCAGGTTTATTTCTCTCAGAAGCAAGGGACCCACAGCTGTTAGACCGGCTTTGTCATCCTTAACATAGCACTTCATCTCCGGTCCAGGCTCCCTGCCCCGTGGAAAACAGAATGGAGGGGGAGGGCTCACAGCCTCCCTCACGGGCTGTGCCCCAGAAGCAGCAAACCTTGTGGCAGCGGCAGATGAGCAGACCTAGGCCTGCTCAGGCATCGGGGCGGGAGGGGACTGGGAATGGTTTCCGGAAGGGCAGCCACATGCCTGAGACGCCGCAGCACCAGGACAGCTCTCTGGGTGGTCGGCAGTGTGCTGTGGAAATAAGAATGAAGGGGCGCTCTTTCCCAGAAAGGGTAGACCATGAGAGGCCTCTTAGCGAAAGGCATGGATAATCCTCATCTTGAAAGACGAGGCTGCGGAATGACAGGGTCAGTAGGAGCATGGCACTTGCAGGAGCCATTGGAGCAAAGCTGAGAACCCCGTCTTGCCCCAACATGGCGGGTTTGGGCCACCTCAGGGGATTGAATTGAAGGAAACGGTGGAGCGTTGTTCTCAGCAGTGGCAGTACTGCTGCCATCTAGTGGGTGGGGCCAAAAGTGCTGTCTGCATCCTGCCTGCACCGGACAGGCCTTTTTATCACGTCCCAAACGCTAGGGTGGACTGAGAGAGAGGCTGCAGCTGGATTAATCGTGTTTTTTTGGAATCATGCAGAGCATGATGGGGGTACAGGAAGTCTAGGCATGGCTCTGTCCTCGGTGGTACCCTGAGTCAGGCGGGCAGCTGTGGTGCAGACGGATTGCTCCTTAATAAATGTATCCTTGGGCTACTCCTCTGGGTCCAAGGCAACTGCTCTAGTTCCCGGGTTCTATTACCCAGTGAAGAGGGGGAGATGGCCTGGGGTCTCCCAGCATCTCTCTCAGGGCATGACCCAGAAGTAGTGTCCCTTGTGGTTAGTGGAATAGCGAGATCCAGCTAATGGTGACTTAGAAACAAAGCATTTCTGTCCTTCAGTGTGGCGGCTGGCCCATGGCTTCAGGGACTCCGGCTCTTCTTTTGCTGCTTTGACATCCCAAGGATGTTCCTCTCACAGGCATGGTCTTTACTGCCACTTTAAATATATATATTTTAGTGATATTTAACAGAGAGGAAGAGAGAGGGATAGAGAGTTAGAAACATCGATGAAAGAGAATCACCGATCAGCTGCCTCTTGCACACCCCCTACTGGGGATGTGCCCGCAACCAAGGTACATGCCCTTGACTGGAATCGAACCCAGGACCTTTCAGTCCGCAGGCTGACACTCTATCCACTGAGCCAAACCGGTTTCGGCTTTACTGCCACTTTAAAGACACATCCTAGCCTGGTCGGTGTGGCTCAGCGGTTGAGCCTCAACCTAAGAACCAGGAGGTCACGGTTTGGTTCCTGGTCAGGGCACATGCCCAGCTTGTGGGTTTGATCCCCCAGTATGGGGTGTGCAGGAGGCAGCCAGTTGATGATTCTTCCTCATCATTGATGTTTGTATCGCTCTCTTCCTCTCTGACATCAATACAAATATATTTGGGGGGAAAAAGACAAATGCCAGAAGCTGCACACATCACTTGGATTAATGAAGTCTTGAATCCATGTGGCAAAGAGAACAGTCTCTTCACAAAAAAAAAAAGAGAGAGAGAGAGAGAGAGAGAGAGAGAGAGAGAGAGAGAGAGAGAGAGGGAGAGAAATGGCATGCAGGCTAGTGGTGTGTCTCACCCAGCCTGGGCGGGAAGCATCTGTAGGTGATCATTTCAGTCTTGAGCCCCATCTTTGCCAAATAGGTAGGACAGTGGTTCTTAAACTTCTATTTTGAGATCCTTTTACATTTAGAAATTAAAGCCTCCTTTCCCTCTTCCCCCCCCCCAAAAAAAGGGTTTTTGTTTTATCTAGAGTTGCGGCATTAGCAATCTGAAACTTTAAAATATTTATTCACTTAAAGATAACAGAAAACACATTCTATATTAACGTGACACTTTTATAACAAGTATTTTCCAAACCAAACGTAGCATTGTTTATGCCTTGGCAAATCTCTTCTGTCTGGTTTCGTGGCCGCCTGGGTCCTCGGCTGTTTCTGTGTACAGTCCATTGTCATGTGTTGTTTTGGTTGAAGCATGTGATGAAAACCTGGCCCCACTGACAAGGCGGGCAAGAGGGAGTTTACGGCCGAAACAGGTTTGGCTCAGTGGTAGAGCGTCGGTCTGCGGATTGGAAGGTCCCGGGTTCGATTCCGGTCAAAGGCATGTACCTGGGTTGCGGGCACAGTAGAGGGTGTACAAGAGGCAGCTGGTCGATGTTTCTCTCTCATCGACGTTTCTAGCTCTCTATCTCTCTCCCTTCCTCTCTCTGTAAAAAATCAATTTAAAAAAAATTTTTTTTTTAAAAAATAAGAGGGAGTTTACGATTGTGAGCACACAAAATACAGAGCTCATTCTTGTATTAATTATTGCATTTTTATGCGAACAACTGTAAACCTATTTTTGCCCCACCCTGAATGTGATGGGAAATGGAGGGGAATGTTGATAGTCTTTGCAGATAATTATTTTCCTTTAATCCACAATGCAATATATGGTAGCTACTGAAAGATTTGTGGCTACATGGACTCTGCAGCCGCATAGCCACAGACTTTTCAAATTGTTCCGTTAAAATGCACTGATCTGAATGCTTTTCCCCAAGCTTGATTGTTGGCATGCCCTGCATTGGTTGCTGGGAAGACACTGGCTTACCAATTTAGGTAATTCCTCCAAATGTCTCATTTCATTCCAGCATGGGGAAAATCACTTCTGTTAATATTGTCAATCTCGTTTTGGAAACCTAAGAATCAGGAAGCTCAGGCCCAGAGTAAGCGGGTCTGTGTTCTGAAACCCTAACTTCCCTTTACAGAGCTTTCTTAAATGTTACATTGTGGCGTTGGTCGCTGTCCTTGAAGCCACAGGCCCACGTAGGTCATTCGGCTGAAGACCAGATCTGAAAACAACACACAAAGAAAGCCATAGTTTGCCAGTTGTTTCAAATCAGAGCCGTGCGGGCTGGGTACAGTGTGCCGGTGCTTGTCAGACAGCCGTGCGTTGTGGTTTGCAGCAGCAGCAGCTTCCACATCCCACATCCCGTTTCATCACACAGGGAGTTAAAGAGGCTTATTCAGGGGAGAGATTTAATCAAATGGTTCCAACTGCTGGAAAGGATATTATTCCTGACAGTGAAACTGGTTCTGGCTTCCCTGGGCAGCGGGGGACAGGGGTAGGTGGTTGTGAAGGCTGTCGGGACAGCAGGCAGAGCTCAGGTGCCAGCAGACCGGCCCACCATCACTCCTCAGTGACAGTGCCAGCCATGAAAAGGGCAAAGCGCGTCCTAGGAGGGGTATGAAAATATTTTGACCACAGACTCAATCAGATGAGTCTCGAGGACCCCCGGGCACTCCCAGGCTGAACTTCGAGGGCCGTGGAGGCTGTGTGACAGGCACATT